TATTTTTTTTATAAAAAAGAAAGAAAAACAATGTTAGAGCTAAAATGAAGAATGTTTTGCAAACTAAAGTATGAAGAAGATGATAGGTAGGGAGTGTGGTCTTTTTCTTTTTTTTTGAAAAAAGTGTAAATGAAAGAAGAAAAATGTTTTTAATTTAATTATAATGCCAAGTGTCAATAAAAGAAGAAAAAATGTAAAAAAATAATCAAAAAGACACTATTTTAAATCTTTTCACGCGCTTCAGAGAAGTGCAAAACACATTTTTTGCCAATTTAGGTGTTCAATAGGTACAAGTCTTAGTTGAGGTGTCTAAGTGAATTATGTGGACAACTTTAAGGGGCGGTCGATGACTTAAGCCAACTTATATTCATAGCATAATTTTTAAGAATAAGGTGTTTGTTTACAAAAATACCCTCTACCTTATTTAGTTTTTTTTTTACATTTTCTTTGCAAGCTTTAGTTATTCATTCTTAAAGATAAATTTTCATCTTATTTAAATTAAATATTTTTGTGTGTGCATTTCCATGATTGTTCTGTGTGTTTCTAAAATGGACAAATTACAGAAATACACACTTTTTGTTTCACTTATTTCCATTATCCCCTATTACTTTTAAAAATCTCCAAAATCCCTTATTTTTTTAATGTATCTGAGCTACATATTAATGTATTCGAGCTATATATTATGTATCAGACCTAGTTTTTAATGTATCTGAATTAGTATTTAATGTATCCGAGCTAGTTTTTAATGTATCCGAGCTAGTTTTTAATGTATCTGAGCTTCAATTATTGTATCCGGTTTTTCTAATTTTTAAGGGGTTAATGTAATTAGAAACTTATTAGGGATAGTTTGTAATTTCATATTAAAACTATGGGATTTATATAATTTACCCTTTTAAAATTAAACTTTCATTTTACTTAACTTAAAAGTAAAACGGTCATCTTATTTAGCTTTAAACTAGATTGTGGACAATAGCTCTAGCTCATTTGTTAGATAAATCAACAGGCCTAGATATGCAAGCGTCATATATGTATATTTTCTGATTTTGATTTCGTGTCTATATGTTTTTCAGGTCTCAAATTTGATATCATTCGTGCATCAATGTGAAGGTTCACTCCACCAAAACTAATTTTTAGCGGCAACGACAATTAATTAATGACAATAGTTTAATTGCCGCTAAATATGGTTGTTTTAGGGTCCATTAGCTCTCTTTGTAAATATTGTTTAAGTCTATAGCGATATTGTATTAACAAAAATCAACTAATGTCAGTAAAGGTTCTAACACTCTTTATTAATTTACATATTTATTGTCGCTAAAAGTCCTTTTTGCAATAGATTAATTAAAACGCTTAATTATTGGTAGCGTCATATCATATTCTTGTACCTGGTATTTATTATTTTAACTTATAGCTAAGTATGTTGCAATTAAGAATGACACGCTCACAAATAGAGACAACAATACATGAAGAAGTTCCCGTGAAATGTAACTTACACCAATAGCTTTTTGGTATGATTTTCGATTGGTAGGGGAACTAAGACGAGAGGTTTCAATCGGACAATCACCTGGGGCACGGGCTTGACTTATCTAGTATATATACATAGCAATCTTAACGAATATGTAATTATGGATTCTTCTTTGACGTAAATAATAAGTTGAAGACAATCGAGAAAAAAAGGTAACGATATAATCACCCCATTAAATGAATCGTTATCTAATTTATCTACGAATAAAACAAAAACAAAGATAACAATATAATCATACCACTAAATGAATCGTTATCTGATTTATCCACGAATAAAACAAAAATAAAAAATAACGATATAATCACACCACTAAATGAACCGCTATCTGATTTATCCACGAATAAAACAAAAATAAAGATAACAATATAATCACACAATTAAATGAATCATTATCTGATTCATCCACGAATAAAACAAAAACAAAAACAACGATATAATCACACCACTAAATGAATCGTTATTTGATTTATCCACGAATAAAACAAAAATAAAGATAACAATATAATCACACCACTAAATGAATCGTTATCTGATTCATCCACGAATAAAACAAAGATAACAATATAATCACACAATTAAATGAATCATTATCTGATTTATCCACGAATAAAACAAAAACAAAAATAACGATAGAATCACACCACTAAATGAATCGTTATCTTTGATTTATTCACGAATAAAACAAAAATAAAGATAACGATATAATCACACCACTAATCTGATTTATCCATGAATAAAACAAAAACAAAGATAACAATATAATCACACCATTAAATGAATCGTTATCTGATTTATCTACAAATAAAATACAAATAAAGATAACAATATAATCACACCACTAAATGGATCGTTATCTCGAAGAAAACAAAAAATAAGGGTAACAACCATCGGAAGGAGCTGTTAGATCCTAAGTGATTGTGACTATAACGACTTTTCATGACAGCCTAGTTTGCCGACACTGTGAATTGTGATTATTATTGCATTCCTCCTCCCTCAATCACAATACCATTCATTCAAGACTTTTGAATGGAGAAAATGATCAAAATGGTACTTCATGGAGGGAGAAATGATACTTTCACATGTTAATTTCAAGGGACCCACTTAAAAGTTAATAGAATTTTTAACTTTTATGGTTAGTTTTAGGATTATAACTAAAATGATCATCTTTTTATATATACATTAAGGACTATTTCAATAAGGTAGTATATATGAAGGACGAATATTATTCAATCCTTATACATTAAGGACCATTTTCTCCTTTTGAATGTGTCGTAAAGTCAAATATTTAACTGGAGAAGAATAAAACTCCCTTCAAGTTTGAAACCGTTGCTTGAAATTTCTTCGGGAAAACTATATAAAGAGAATGTAAATGGTGAAAATAAAATATGATATGGGGCATGGTACGACTTTTATGCCTTTATTGATGTCAACTTTGTGATTACTGGGAACTTAACTTATATGTATGTATAAAAAAAAAAGGACAGCGGATACCCTTGGTTACATGTTAATTTCACATTCATGTATTGGCAGAGGGAGGAAGATGGAAAAGTCTTTGCTTAAAAACGAGTGATCCTTTACTCTTGGTCAGGAGCACAACTCGTGTTATTTATTTAGAATTGATCAACTAACTCTGCGTGTTTTTACTCAGTCTTGTTCAGAAACCCCGTCCTCCTTTTACATTTAACGGAACGTAAACTACTAGTATAATAAACACAAGAATCTTCCAACCAGACAAGAGGTATCAATTCACTGGATAGCAGATTTTGTTCAGCAACAATGTATCTAGTAACACTTGATTAAAATCTCTCTTTTCCAGCCTTGCATTGCAATAGATTTGTGTTTCCAGCCTTGTATATATATATATATCAACTAACCAAGCATGCAAAGTCTATTACCTCAACTCAAACAAAGGAAGACATAGTAGTAGCAGCCTAGTTGAACGTTAAAGGCAAAAAACGACTAGACACCTGCAGCTTTCTTCCTACTAGCATTACTTTTAAAGCTTTTTTTCCCATTTACCAACTTCTTGCTACACTTGTCGAAAATGTTCACACAACATCTTCTGAAAAATTAAACTAAATCACACCATAGGAGGCTTTGAACTAGTAATTCATAAGGCTCTCTACCTATAAAAGCAATGGATTGTTTTACTATATTTAAGCATACAACAAATCCAATACAGAATCACAAGCAAAAAAAAACAGATATTGCATCCTTGAGGGAAAAGATACTAGCACTTAATAGCAAAACTTTCTCTTCTTCACTTTTCAACATGGGAGGATGATTTACAGCTAAATATATATATGTCCATGGCGACTTCATTTTTGAAGATGACAAAACATATATCCAAAATATCATTAATTGAATCTCTAAGTTGGGGCAACCCATAATTTCTACTTTCCTTTCTCCTGATACAACAATTGTTAATCAGCTGAAAGAGGAAAGACTAACTTTATCAAAACCAGCCCCATTTTTCTTTCTCCAGAAATAAAAATCCAACCACCACCATCAGTAATAGAGAGTAACAACATTTAAGATTACACAAAATAAAACCAGAAAATTAAGTAAAACAAAAGAGTGGGGAATTTCTCCGAACCTAAAACGTCAAGAAGAAGAAGAAGAAAAATGAGGAGGTGGAGGTAACAATTGATGTGCCTGATTACTCAATGAGGTAGTAGCAGGACCGGTGTGGGTGCCTGGGCTATTCTGGGTGATGAAGGGATGGCGCAAGAGCTGCGCGGCCGTCCACCGCCTGGCAGGATCCCTCTGCAAACAGCAGGCAATGAACTCCCTAAACTCCCTGGAAGCAGTGGGTGGTGCCTCAGGAGGCTGCGACATACAAATGGCGCACATAAGGCTGGCCCAGTCTCCTTGTCTCCCCACAGAGAAAGGGAACCTTCCCAAGTAGAACTCTAAGATGCTCACCCCAAGACTCCATATGTCCCCAGCATATCCGTCGTACTGTCCGTGATTCAGATCTGTGTTGATTCTCTCGGGACTCATGTAAGCGATGGTACCCACTGAGGAATTGCAAGGATCCATAGTTTGTGCGAGAACTCTGGAGACCCCAAAATCTGCAATCTTTACCTCACGCCTGGAGTTGATTAAGAGGTTAGAAGGTTTGATATCTCTGTGAACAATCTTACGCCTGTGGAGGTAGTAGAGGCCGGAGAGAACCTGTCGAGTTAGATCGGAGAGAGGTTGTTCGAGAGGGATATGGATCCCTTCGAGAGAGCCTTTATCCATGAACTCAAGAAGAACTTGGATTTCGCCGTTGTGATCGAACATATCGTGACACCTAACGACGTTAGGGTTGTCTACATCTCGGAGAATCTCGATCTCACGGCACATCTGGAGACGGACAGAATCCTCATGGTTACCATAGATAACTTTCAAAGCATAAAGTCTGCCAGTGGGACGATGTAGAACCTTGTAAACAGTACCTCCGGTGCCACTACCGATGCGATTAACCCTCTCGAGCTCAGAGAAATGTAAAGGGGTAGGAAGCGGGGAGGAAGATGAGGATGTGGAAGAGGAAGGAGCGGAGGTTGGAGGAAGAGGGAGAGGAACAGCAAGAGCAACGTCACGTTGAGGAAGAGGAAGGGTCAAATCAGTACGACGCCGGGGACGACTGCGTTGTCCGGCGGAAGAGGGAGGAGGCATGGATGATGCGGCGGCGGAGGAGGTGGAGTTAGCAGCTGGTTGAGTAGGTCGCATGATTGATTGAATGAATGAATATTGGATTGTCTGCAATTATATATATATATATATAAATAAAGAGAGAGAAAGAGAAATGGAATGGGGATTTTAGGTTCTAAGCTGGAAAGAAAATCGAGAGAAGGAGAAATGCAGCCATCCAAAGACAAATAGAGAGAGAACTTTCTTGGAAGAGAAAAATAAAAGGTAAACCTATTTGTATTTGTATTGGGTGGATGAGTAGGTCATTAGGGTCACGCTAAATCCTACTATTAGCATCTCATTAACAAATACTAATCAAATTGTTTATTCATTCACCTTACTTACCAAAGAACATTTTAATCTTTAACTTATTGGGTGTATTTGGTAAAAAAGGAAAATAAATGAATTTCTTACTTGCTTTCATGCGATCTAGAAAAATATTATAGGATAAAAATAACATCAAAGTAGAAAATCCAAGTCAGCATATATAGGGTTCGGGGCGGAAGAATTGAGTTTGTCAATCACTTACTATAATTTTTTTCCTTTCGTCTATTTTATGAGTGGTTAATTCCTTCTATTGGGAATGGGGAGGAGACTTATTTTCATATTTTTAGTTTAACTTATATTTCACTTAAAATCAAAACGTTTTGTATTATAAAAATATCAGTATTCTTTTTTCTTGTCTAACATATTTGCTTCATTCAAAAAATTCAGTGTTACATAGTCCCAAAAGCAAATTTTAGGATTGAAGCTTAAATAATTAGTTTAAGTTATTTAAATTTAGGCATATTTATGTAATTGGTCATACCGCATCACTCCAAAGCTCTTTGTCTGACTTTTGAACTTAATATTTGGAATTTAGTTTTGTAAAACTGAAAATGGGAAAGAAGTCTTGTACTATTGCTCAAGGTCCAATGATTTGTTTAAAATCAAATGAACTGGAGACAATTGTTGATTAACATGAATCATTACGTTGCCAAATACACAATTACAAGGTTTTCTCAACTCATTCAAATTGATTGAATATTTCAATTATTCATTTCTTGACACAAAACCGATATCTCACTTACTTTTTGTTATCCATTAATGATCTGGAATTGTTAAACTTTTCATTCTACCAAATGATGATAGGAATTATTTCATTGCTTATATATTCGAAAAGTTTATATTAAAACCATAATAATACTATTTACCAGTGCAAACAGCAGCTTCTCCCATAATGTACCAACATGAGTTGTGGTGGGATAATTGAGATCCTTTCAATCTTGATCACAAGTCTCGGAGATTCAAGGAAAAAATCTTATTGGGAGCGTTGGCCTCGAGTCCTGCAATGCACAAATCCAAATTAGTCGGACTTGTCTTCAACGAGACCTGAATGTTGTAGTCGCATGAAAAAATAAACACAAGGGACCAAACTATAACGGCATCAGCGTATTCATCTATGACATTGGTCCTTCATTTAAATATACAAGTATTGAGCAGGTTATCTATAGTTATCACAAGTTTCAACCATAATTCTTTACCAATTAATGTGAATGATGGGAAATTCAAAGTCCATAGATATGAAATACTTCTTCTTGTCCCAAAATTATGGTACTATTTGACTAATATTCAGAGCTAAATTTAAATACAGTATTTAAAAGTTATACAAAAAAGTAGTATACTCAATAAGGTATTTGGTCAAAATTCATGTAGTTTGAACAGCCAATGTGTGGCCTAGTGGTGAATGAAGTGGGTTGAGCACTATAAGGTCTCGAGTTCAAATCCCACTAGAGACAAAACACTAGGTAATTACTTTCATCTATTCTAGAGTATCTATAGTATATTGGTTGGTTCTTAGGAAGTAGACAATGTGGGTGGGGGTAACAAATAACTGGGTTATGGGGAAAGCGTTAAATGTTGGCATCTTGACCATTATACTTACTATACGTTGCATTTGCGCAAATGCATACATGGAAAAGTGCTATCGTCAACATGTTTGATGAGATGAGACAAAACCTGCAACTTTTTATTTTTATGTAATCATATTTCAAAAGTACTCCAGCACCTTATACAATTAATGCGGTAACTTGGAAATTTTGATATATTAATGTGCATACCAAATCATCATATTTCTAATCACAGTATCGAGTGAAAGGGAGAAAGATATTTTTGAGTTTTTATACCAACTACTTTAATTACACTTAATTCTCGTGGCCAACTACTTTCTTCTCCATTCTCTCAACATCATAGGCCTTACCATCTCATTCATCATATATTAACAACTACACAGATGGTTTCTCGAGCAGAGTGGGTAAATATGACTGACTGCTTTCATTACACCAAAACATATTTTGCAATTAATTTAATTAATCGTGTCTGACCTGTAACAAAGTCCGCCTGTAATTTCTGTAAAATTCTTTGCTTATTGCCCTTTACGTGCCAATACGAGGATCTGTCATTGAAACAGGTGGACCATAAGAGTATCTCCACTCTCCACAAGCTAAGCACCGTTCAACCTCATGGCTATTTTGCAACGTGCAAAACTTACAAGACCAGG